AAAGCAATGTCCAGTATATTCTTTTGCACTTGGGAGTTCAAAAAATTTGCAATTTTACTTGGGAGACCACCGAAGGTATTGATGCCCACTGGTTGCACGGTACCTCTTCCCTTTTTATAATTTATAAAAAATCTGGCATGAGGAGTATGAGATGGGTGCAGTGTTGCATATTTGCGAACCATATCCACCAAGTTTAGGTCTTTGAAATTTCCTTTTGTTACTCTGAACTCACGAGGCAGTTTTGTTTTAGTGATCGGCAACATACTTTTTATAAATTCTCCTAAATCTTCTACATCATTTACTTTTAAATTGTGTAATTCTTGCCTTAATTTTGTTTTTAGCCACTGACACTTGGTTTTTAAAAAGAAAAAACTCACAGTTTTCGGAAACGAGTTGTATTACCGAACTTTACATTGAGAATGTCGAATAATAAAAGCTAGTCGAATAATAAAAGCTAATTTGTTTACAGGATCACTACTATTTATAAGATAAAAATGCTAACTAAGCAACTACAATATATAAAGGGGGCCATTCACTGGGTGGTCCATAACTCCTCCGCCCTTAGAGTTGAATTCGGGGGTCGATTATAAGTTTCGGCACCGGAATTTGACGTTTTCCATCTTCGGATCTTGAATTATTTTCGTTTTCTTCTATTTTGGACATAATTTTTGTGAAGTGGTACCCTTTTTTAACTATTATAACATATAAAACATAAACGATTAAAAATATAAGGATTAAATATAATATTATGGTCCAAACGCTAATATTGTCGTAATGAACCGGTCGTTCTTCGGGTATTTGGTCAATTTTGGGTTTCATGACGTTGATAGACGCCTGTATTTGTCGTAGTTCATCGAGGTTGATGGTGTCGAGTTTCAGGGGGTCAAATTTGGAATATGTTCGTGAAGTGATTGATTGATTGATTCTTCGAGTTCCAGCGGTGGTAGTTCGATATTTTGGTAAAAATTTCGTGGGTTATTCGGTTGGTTGGTCTTGATAAGGACGTTGTTTATTCGAATTTCACATGAGAAATCGAGTTCAAGTAAGAAACTTCCGTGAAGAGGGATGTTGTCTTTGTTTTGATCGCATCTTCGGATAGCCACTGTTTTATTGGGTAGGATAAGGATCCACTTGTTATTTTCGAGTTTTTGGATTTTTGAGCTTCGTACATGGACTGGCATTTGTTGACAATTGTGGGTCTGGCTTGAAAATTTTAATAATTGAACTTCGCAAGGGGCATCTTCTTTTGTAATTCTGACTGTGGTTATTGATTGACAAATGAATTCTCGGTTCACAATTTCTTGACATCTACTATATGTTAATGCATAATTCCACTCATTGAGAAGTAAAAATTTGGATTTTGGGATAATGACTTTGAAGGTGGAGTTACTGGGTGTTGGTAATGAATATAGATGGAAATAGTTATAATTTTCATTTTCTGTGATAAGTACTTCAATGATAAAAACTATTTGATTGCCCTTAGAATAACTTTTGACAGTTAGAATTTTTTCGAATAAAAGCAAATTATCAATTGTAGGGYCAAAAGGTAAACGATTTTRYGTTAATTTGATTTTTTGAATTTCGCGTAAAAGTTCTGCGGATTCAACGATGGAATTATGAAAAGTATTCAATTTTGAAAATGTAATTGCAATTTCGATTTTTYCAAGAATATCATAAATTAATTGATAAGCTGTGGTAATCTGGGAAAGTATCATTTCTATTGTGAAATAAGCATGGGTGTCAAGGTTAGTCAGTTGTGTTTGTTTTAARATTGTTTCGATTTGCAGAATTCGGGATTCCAAAATTAATTCGTTATGCCTAATTGTGTCAATTGATTTATTAAAATTTTGTATTGATTTTTCTAGGATGGTGATTTGTTCTTTCAGTAATGTTTTAACTCGTACTTGATTTTTCGAAAGGGTTTCAATGACTTTGTCATATTGTTCGGCATCGTTTTGGTCTAAATTTCCTGTAATTGATTTTATGATTGATCCTAATCCGTCGATGAGACCTCGTTTTTGTCTTTTGTTGATTAGTGGGTTTAATTGAATAAATAAAGTATTGATTTTTAAATCGAAAGTTTCAATTAAACGATAGGAGTTATAAAATTCTTTAGTTCCATGTGTAATGTTTTTGAGAGCATTTTTGAGTCTTAAAAATTTTGATTGTAATGTGTGAAATTCGTCGATAATATTTGAAATATTGAAAATTTGGATAAAAGACCATTTATCTATTTGATTTTGGGCATTACCAATTTTTAGAGGAAGGAGACCTGGATTTTTATTTAGTTTGTGGAACTTTGGGAGGTTATACTCTGCGGTGACGCAGGATAAGAATCTGGAACAAAGTCAGGTTTTCGTAGTTCTTTAATATGAATAATTTCTTTTTTATTTTTGTTGTATTTGTCAGTAATTTCGACACGATTTCTTTCTAATATTTCGGTAATTTCAAAAGGGCCTAAAAATTTATTGATCTTTTTGTTTCGTGTTGTTTTTTGATTTAGTTTATAAACGGTTTGACCTAAATGAAATTCGTTACTCGTTTCACCATTAAAATTTTGTTTTGTTAATATTTTAACTTTTTGATTTTCGAGATTTTCGTTAACCTTGTTGTAAACGTGTTTTAACTTGTCGCGATGATTTTGAGAATATTCGGAATAAAAGGCTGTTTGGAAAAAATTTCATTAGGATTTCGAGAATGTGTGTGACCAAAAGTTAATTCGAAAGGAGTGTAATTTGTTGAGCTGTGGATTGAGTTGTTGTAACCAATTATTGCTTAGTCCATTAAATTATTATTTTCGCGAAGGTACATTTCTTGGAGGATTCGAAGATGTTCAATAATTGTCGARTGAAATCTTTCAACTATGCTGTTTGATTCATGATGTGCTGCTGTAGTAAAGTGAATTTTTATTTTATGTAAATTTAGAATTTCTTTAACCGTTTCATTATTAAATTCGGTTCCTTGATCTATGATTAATTTTTCGGGTATGCCAAATGCTGTAAAATATTTAATTAAAGCTTCGCTGATGTGAATCGCTGTTTTTCCTTCAATAGGTATAGCTTGTGCAAATTTTGTAACTGAATCTACGAGTGTTAAATAATTTTTGCCATTATAAGTGAAAACATCAATATGAGCAATTTGGAATGGTTTTTGAGGTGTTTCTGTATGCATTAGTGGTGTGTAAGGTTTTTTACGGGCGTACTTTGTTCTTTGGCAAATTTCACATGTATTAATATAATTTGGAACCGTATTTTTCATATTAATCCAATAATAGTTTCTTTTTAAATATTCAATGGTTTCATTAATTCCGCGGTGGTTCACTTTACCTTCGTGATGATGTTTTTCTAACATTATTTGTTCTTCAGGATTGGTTACAGTGTTTACTAATTTAGAACATTTAATTAATTTTGGTCCTTTTTCATTAAAATGTTTTAAATAAATTTGATTGAAATTTTTGAAAAGTGATTCTTTATGAAAGTAAACGCAATAAGTTTTGTTTGAAATGGTATAGTCTTTTAAAAAGGATAAAATGAAATTTTCATTGTTAATTTCCGGGATTTTTACTTTTATTATTTTATGGTGTTCATAGTTTTGCTGTGTCACTTCTAATTTTGGATAAGGATGTGGATAAACTAAAATTTGGTTAACTTTGTTATTTATCATTTTTAAAATTTTTATTCCATTATTAGTTGTTTCGTTTGCATTTGAGTGTTGAGTATCTGAGTATTGAGTATTTGATGGTAAACGAGAGAAATGTGTCTTGTCAGGTGGTTTAATTTGTACGTCGGATAAAATTTTAAATTTTGAGGATTTACGTTTAGGAGAATCGGGTTTTGTTGATGGTCCTGGAATTGGGCTGTTAGGATTGTTTTGAGTTGGAACTTGTATTTCAGATAAGGATTTCATTATTTCTAAAAATTCTTCGGTGGGTTCTTCATTGCTTTGTAATATAGCATCAAAATCTAAAATATCACGATTTATGTCGCCGGGATTATTAATCATTGATTCATTTTCTAATAAAGCATTAATTTGGATTCGAGAAAGGGCGTCTGCATTAGTATTTAATTTTCCTTTTTTATATACAATATCATAATCGAATTCTTCTAATTTCAGTCTCCATCTAATTAATTTTGAGTTGGGTTCGCGTAATTTAAAGAGCCAAATTAAAGGTCTATGATCGGTAAAAATAGTGAATTTTCGTCCAAAAAGGTAAGGTCTGAAATATTTACATGCCCATACGATGGCTAATAATTCTTTTTCAACGGTGCTATATTTTTGTTCAGTTTCGTTTAATGTTCGTGAGGCGAAAGCAATGGGTTTATCATTTGGATGCATTTCTATTTGATGAAAACCGTTTGCTAAGTCAAGGGTTGTAAAATACTGGCTTTTTCCTAATTTATCTAAAATGTCTCTAATGTTTGGTAACGGGTATCTGTCGTCAATAGTTTGTTCGTTTAACTTTAGATAATCAATAACTAATCGCCATTTTCGTTTTCCTGAAGCGTCTAATTTTTTTGGTACAATCCAGATGGGACTTGACCATGGAGATGTTGAATTGGATTTGATTTGAAAATGAGTAAAATTATGTCACTTACAGTGTGTAGAGTGCGATTTTCATTGGGACTTCTTGAGACTTCTTGAACTTCTTTTTTTTTTAACTTCTTTGACTTAACCTAATCAGGTGTTGGCGATGCTTGTCCTCGACCTGTCCTTAAAACTAAACCAGGCTTTGGCGATGTTTGTCCTCTACCCGGGGTGTGTAGGAGTTGGCGATGTTTGTCCTCGTCTTCACGAAATTTTTAGGATCCGAACTCTGAAGTGCTTGGGCTTGGTTTGATGGATCGTTCTCGATTTTAATTGTTGAAACAAACCAAACGCGTTTTTCTTTACTGACCGTTTGTAACCGAATTTATCAATCAATCGATTGAATTGATCCTACTGACTGCGCCAATTTTGTTTTTAGCCACTGACACTTGGTTTTTAAAAATAAAAAACTCACAGTTTTCGGAAACGAGTTTTATTACCGAACTTTACATTGAGAATGTAGAATAATAAAAGCTAGTCGAATAATAAAAGCTAATTTGTTTACAGGATCACTACTATTTATAAGATAAAAATGCTAACTAAGCAACTACAATATATAAAGGGGGCCATTCACTGGGTGGTCCATAACTCCTTCGACAAGCTCCCGTAACTTCTGTTATTAAAACCACCTGAAAACAAAAAGTAAATAGTAACCAAACTTATACGACAGAAAAAACTCTTACTTTTTGCATTAAGTAATCTTCGTCATTTGCTGTTGTAAGAAACTTTTCAATATTTTCCTTACTGAAGCTTTTGGATTTCTTGGCGCGATATCCTTCACTTTGTCGTTTCAAAAATGCGATCAAAATAGTGTATTTACTCAAATCAAGGTTTTTGTTGATTGAAATCATGGTTCTTAACATGGAATATACACTCCACAACGTTGAGGGCTTTACAATTTTTATTTTTTCAAGGAAGTACGCCAACATCACTTTCTCATTAATGCAATTTACTTTTTGTTTAGACCTCCATTCTTCGAAACGGCTGTACCTATGTTATCTCGTAAGCGACGCGGGATTTCTGGGGGATTAAATTTGAGATGGCCTCTTGTGCAGCAGCTTCAATACGCTCTAGAACGTTGTCTTCTTCTGAATCACTCATTATTTTCCAAAAACAGTTAAGTAATCGCAAACTTTTAAAAATGCCATCTTCAGATCGTTTTCGTTGTTTATTATAAAAATGACAGTAACCAACAGCTACCTATCTTTTAAATTCAATTTATTCCCAGTAAAAATTAATTATTATTTTACTTAAATTTTTGCAAAATTGTAAAAGGCCTTTTATACAACTCGTTGCAATACTTCGCTTTTTTCGCACACGACGTGTTCACGTCTAGAGCGAAAAAAGCCTTCGTATTGCAACTAGTTGTATAAATAGCTAATTTAAAACTACAATTTTTGTAATAAAATTTTTGATAATATTATAGCCCTGAGCAATCTATCTGACCGACAATCCTTCTTCTGCTTTAGCAATTACCAAGCAATTCAGAATATCGCTAATTCGAAGCATTTTAAATTCAATTCAACAAATTATTTTTTGACACATGTTATAGTTATAAAGCCAAATTCAAACAATTAAATTATAGAAAAATCATTATTTGATTTTTCGACATGTCCTATTTACCTATTTATGTCCACTACTATACATCTATTTGACAGTACTAGCGCTGTTATAGTTATTAACGTCATTAAGCCGATATAAAGCAATAGTAATAAACGCAGCTGAAGTTCCTGAATTGAGATTTATAAGCAGCCGCACTGTGGTGTACTTATTGTACCGTGCGATTAAAAAAAAATTAATTAGAGTAGGCGTTGATTAAATTCTACAGTTGGCAACACATTGGCTAGGAATCTGGGCTAGAAATTTTCCACACAAACTGAAAGTAAAAATGACCATTCACCTTTTCGTCTTGTATAGCATTTTTGTAATAAACAATAAAAATTTTCTGCTCTAAAGTGAACATTATTTCACTCAAAATGAATAAAACGCAAAGTTTCCGCTGACATTTGACGTCAAAAATCAGGATCGCCATCTGAAGGACTTTAATCACCGCCTACTCTAATTTTTTTTAATCACACGGTACTTGTACATTCTTTTTGGGACCAAACGTTTTTTGCTTAAACTATTTATTTTTTGGAAAAACTAATTGATGTATGATAAAGTACTACAAAAATGTGATGTTTTATTAAGAATAGAATTTTTCTACAAAAATTTTAATTTTTTTAAATAACAACCCACTATAAAACCATTTTTCTCATAAAGGTTATGATCTAAGGATTAGAACTATTTACTTTATTCATATTTAATTTAAAAAAAAATCCTAAACTGCAAATTTGACAAAAAAAAATCGCATAACTTAAAAACAAAGCAAAATTTCGTTCTTAAAATACGATCACCATTTTGATATTACTTTAATTTATAATAATTGTTATTTTCTGGAGGCAAATAATTAAAAAAAAACCTTGGTTTCATACTTTATATTTACCTTGTATATTCCACAGAAGTGTATTGCAATGTAATTGTTGAAGCTTGCATATTAGTGGTTTAGTAGTTTCAACAATTAACAGTTAATTAAATTAACATTATTCTTATTCTCGAAATCGAGACGGAGTCATTTGTCCGGTGCAGGGTAAGTGACCCCTGCGTGTCGTTGTGGTTTCTTTGTGATGTGTTCACGTATAACGAGCCCTTTTGGTTACTGTTGTACTGTTTAAACTAACGCCTTAATGTAAGTTATTGTCTCTATTTCTACCACCTGAGGAACTCCCAATCACGTAAGATGTGACACTAACTCTAAAAATGTGTTTATTTCATTAATTTTTCGTTTTTTTAAACCGTTAATGTATTACTACCTGAGTAATAATTCGTTAAAACATAACAATATAACATAACAATAATTTTGTTAAAAATTTTCAGTGTTAGTGGCCATTTAGTCACCCCAACTCGATCTGAGGTAAACGCATTTTCATTTCATTTGCAAATGCTTTATAAAGTGTTATTTAATGCTCGCAAATAACCAGACGTGTGTTACGATTAAAAGCCTCATAAAGTATAGAAAGTTATGGCAGCAGTAATGGCATCCTACAGACTAGTCGACGTCTCGTTACGAAAGGGTTAAATGCTTCTCTATGTCTGCCACCGTTTAGTAACTTTAGTGTGCAAACAAAATCCGTATTTCATTTTTACAAATCTTTGTCTTTATTTTTGTCTTGTTAAATTTACAAATAATACTGTTTTCTCATTTGTTATAAATTTCGTAATTGTTTTGTAAACTCGGTTCCGTCACACAAGTATAGGTAGATATACATGCTGTCTCCACTAATATTTGCACCAGGGCCGTACCCAAGGGGGGGAGGGGGGGGGCTTTAGGGGGTTCAAAATAGTTAGAGTAAATTTTTACCCTAATCCCATCTAGTTTAGGAAGCACCTAATTAAAAATTTCAACATTTTATTTTTGTACTTGTTTAGGTGTATAAAAGTTATCATCTGTAGCAAATTTTGAATTTTTTTTTCTAAAATGATTTCGGAAATATTGAAAAAAAACCTATTAAAAGACGCACCCCTTGCGTAGCATTTTTCGATATATGTTCATTGAAAATTTTTGTTTTAAAAATGAATATTCATCTCCTGTTTAAATTTGTAACAATAAAAAGTATTAAAAATTTATTTTATTTTTTGTTACTTTTGTGAGTTAATTTCTATTTTTTTTTATGTTTAATTAGGATCTCTTATTCCAATTTAAAATAAAAACGTGTACTTGGAATTTTTTGCTTTTTAATCCGTCTT